TACAGTCAGAGAGAGGTACACAAACTCAGTGTGACCAGTTGCTGAATTCTGCCTTCCAAGCTCTCCCCACAAAATGACTTCATTATTTTACAGCAGTGACCTGGCCAAAGCCACCCACTCATCCCCTTCCTTCTTTCTCACCTGGCTGGTGGTTTTTTTATTCTTGCCCTCTCAGAACCAGCTATTATTCACTCTCTCAGTTTTTCTGGGCACTCCAGAAAGTGTGGCTGAGCCGCTACTTACTTCCTACCTTCTCTCTCCATTGTGCTGGAGAACACCAGCATTTGTACTGTCTGACCTGGGAATTTCTAGCATTTCCAATTGTTTTTGTTTTGTTTTAATCAGTGAGAAGTTTTGGTTACCATTTTCAGTTGTGTTCAATTTCAGTCCCCTAGCTTCTTTCTTCCTTTTGTTTAAGGTAATGATACTGTATTTCTGAGCTCTCTGTCTTGAGAAGTTGTATTTCATTTATGTTTATTGTCTGGAGTATATGTTTGGGGCTGGGAGGCATTCGTGTGACTTGAGGTACTTGTGGAAGTCATAGGACAGCTTGGGGGCAGGATTGGTTCTCTCCACCGTGTGGGTCTCAGGCATTGAGCTCAGGTTGTCACATTTGACAGCAAGAGCTTTTACCCACTGAGCTGGCTTGCCAGCCTACTCTGCCATTCTGTTCCCTTTCCTCTTATATACAGTTTTCTTGTGTGCGAGTTTATTTTACAGAACTGCTTGAAAAAGAAATTCAAGAAAGTAAACAGAAGATAATATGGTCTCATCTGCTCCGAAGAGGTGGTTGATCAATCACCTAGTCAGGGCTTCTGTGACTTTGGGTCATGGGGTAGTCAGGACCTTTCTCCACACATGATGTTGCTGGTTTCCTTAAGTCCATAGCCAGGTCTTTTAAGATCCATAAGAACAATTGCAGAATTGAAGTATGGGTCCTTCTTCCAGCCTCTGGGTAGACTTCTTTGATTGCAGTTCTTTCCTGGTCGTATCCACAAATGAAGATCTGCAGCTCTCTCTCAGGCAAGCATGTTTCCGAGGGAGAACTTGACACTTGGTGGCATCAGCAACCATTACTGATGGTGAAGACTTGCAGCAGCAGTGAGCATGTCTTCTCCAGATTGAATGGCTTCTTGGTCTCTTTACTCCTCCTGTGCAATGCACCACTGCCACCATCCCCCTTCCTTGCCCCACCTCCTGCAAGCGTGAGGAAGTAGCCTTACCTGGATTTTCTTAACCCTTGGGTTATTATTCAAAGTGGCCATTGATATTCCTGCCCCCCAAGGACCAGCTGACATCTGTCCCCAAGTTATCCTAACCATCATACTTCCCAAACCAGGTGGTAGACATAAATTCTTTATTTTATTTAAAAATTATTTATTCATGTATTTTGTATATGAGTGTTCTGTCTGCAAGTATGTCTGCATGCCAGAAGAGGATATGCTGTTGAGGTTACCCTTTAATCACTTGTTTTTTGTTTGGTTGGTTTTTTCTTTAAATATTGAGACAGGGTCTCACTGTGGAGCTCTGGCTGTCCTAGAACTTATTATGTAGACTAGGCTGGCCTGGAACTCACAGAGATTTGCCCACCTTTGCCTCCCAAATGCTAGGGTTAAAGGCATGTGCCACCATGCCCTGCTCTACTTGGCTTCTTAATGGTGATCTATCAAGGAATCCTGGGCCCAGTTGCTTCTGCTACTGCACAAATCCTTAGTAGTGCTTGGAATTAACTGATGCTGCTGTTGAAGTCTTCTGTCATTAGCTCCTCAGATTTAAAAATCCAAATTCATATTTATGTTTTCTCTTTCCCCTATCAAAACCATAACAAGTTTTCACTTAAAACATCTTTTTAGATAGTATATGCTTGATGGTTTTCCGGGAGCCAATAAAGGCTGGTATCACCTGTGCCTCTTGAGCTTCTTTGGTAAAAAGCAAAATATACGCTGGTTAGTAAGTTATGCTGGGGCACAGCAACGTGTGCTGTATGTGTCCTTCATGGGGAGCCTGAGCAGCTAGAAGGGAGCTTTTTCCTTTAATGTATAAGTGTGCTCTGCCATGAGGGACTTTCATGTCTTTTGGGCCTAAACCAAATGCTGAACGAACTCTTGAAAGAACTCCCATTGTTGATGCCCACTGATGCCTGTTGGCAGCATGTGAAAACTGTGTGAGTCTGAATGGAAGATCTCTCCATCTCTGAATCCTTCTCCAGCTCTTGCTGCCTCTCAAGGAAAATTATCCCACAGACAGAAAGAATTCAGAAATATTTTTCTCTCTCCTCTCTCCTTCTTCCCTTCATTCCCTCTCTCCCTCTCCTTTTGGTGCTGAGGATAAAGCCCTAGGGCCTTTGCATGGGCTAGACAGGTCCTCTTACCACAAAAGAGCATCCTTAGTTCCAGAGACATTCCTTACATTTCTCCTTCCACATTTTTCATATATCAACAACATAGAAGAATCAATATAAGACAATTGTATGCTGGAGACACTGTTTGCTGTTGTGGTAATTTGGTGGCTTTGGGGCAGCATTCCTCTGTAGTTTCCACAGTTTGCAGATAAGAAAATGACTCAGGGTGTCTCCCTTTACTGCTGCAGAGTAGGCATGTTAGGTGCTCTGTGGCACTGCCTGTGAGTAGAGACACAGTGGGAAGGAAACAGATGGGTCAGTATGCATGAGCAGAGCCTGAGTGTAGTTCTTCCTTTCTGATACTCAGAGAGGCTATTAAGAAATCAAGCTATGACCAGGACATGTGGCACACGCCTGTAGCTGGAAGTTTTCCTGTGTCCCTCCTGGTCCCACAGCTGCTCAGACCCAAATAAACATACAGAGGCTTGGAACCAGAGTCTTGGCAACTCCCCTAATGCCTTTGAAACTGTGATACCAGAGTAAATCATTTCAAGAGGTTCTCTGTTTTTTGTCACAGCAAATAGCTTTCCATTAGTTCATGAGATACCACTCCCATTTTCTACACTGTCCCTGTAGCCAGAAACAATGGAAAACGTCACTTTGAGAGGCATATGATTCCTCTTCCCTGTGGGCCAGTCAGTACAGTATCTCCTGTTACTGTGTGCTCTTGGGTGTACTGTCAGCCATGGGAAAAGCAATTGTCAGCAACTGGCCCTGGCACTGTGGCTTCCTGCTTCTTTCTTTGCCTGCTGGACTATGTTCTGTTAGTCACCTGTGTTTGGGACATACATTAAAATTATAGCAACCAATATTTACCAGTTTACATACAGTGCTCAACTAGCAAGTAGTAGTTTTGAAACCTACTCATTTTCTGGTAAGTCACTAACTCGGGAGCCCTTTTTTTGTTAATTGATGAAGGTTTGACAAGTGCTGGTGAGGTTAAGCATTTTGTATATTGTATGGTCAGGGGAAGCAAAGGCCACCTGGTTTTTTTGTCCCTAGAATTGCATTGCCAGGTATTGTTCATCTACTAACCCTGTGTTTGTTCATTCTTTACTTGGCAGTAGGCACATAGAGAGTAAAACTGTCCTTGTGGAGACTGTTAGGGGAGAATATCGATAGCATATATATACAGATGTGTATAAGTGCTTAAAAGCAGCAAACAGTAGTTGGGGGAAGGAGTGTGGTGTATAGCGGGCTTTCTTAGATCATGCCCCCACATCATGGCAGAGACTTACTGTTAATTATGAATGCTCGACCTTAGCTTAGGCTTGTTTCTATCTAGCTTTTTTTTTTTTTTTAAACTTAACCCATTTCTGTTAATCCTTGTGCTGCCCCGAGACTCGTTTACCTCATCTACATACTGTCCATCCTGTTTTCCTGCTTCCTCTGTGTCTGGTTGGCTGCCCCCATCTCTGCCCACCAGTCAACGCCTATCCCTCCTCTGCCTAGCTATTGGCAGTTCAGCTTTTTATTAGACCAATCAGGTTCCTTAGGCAGATAAGATAAAACAGCAACACGTCTTTACATAGTTAAACAAATGCAGCATAAACAAATACAACACATCTTTACATAGTTAAACAATTATTCTGCGATACAAACAAATACAGCACTTCTCTACTTAATCAAACAAATATTCTGTTCCACTATGGTGGTGTGTCTTAGTTAGGTTACAATTCCTGTGATGAAATGCACCAAAAGCACCTTGGAGAAGAAAGGGTTTATTTATTTATTTATTTTTTTTGCTTATATATCTCAATTCATAGTTCATTGAAGGAAGCCAAAGCAGGAACTCAAACCAGATGGGAACTCGGAGGCAGGAGCTGATGCAGAAGCCATAGAAGATTGCTCTTTGCTGAATTGCTCCTCATGGCTTGCTCAGCCTGCTTTCCTATAGAACCCAGGGCCACCAGCCCCCAGGGTTGGCACCACACACAATGGGCTGGGCTCTCCCACATTAATCACTAATTAAGAAAATGGCCTACAGACCTGCCTACAGCCTGATCTTATGGAAGCATTTTCTCAATTGAGGTTCCCTCCTCTCTGATGACTCTAGCTTGTGTCAAGTTGACATAAAACTAGCTAGTACCAGTGCTGCTTGAATAAAGTGGTTCTTATCCAGGTGTCATGGTGCAGGCTTTTAATCCCAACACAAGAGAGGCAGAGGCAGATAGATCTCTGAGTTTGAAGCCAGCCTGGTCTATGGATTGAGTTCCAGGACAACCAGAGAAACCTTGTCTTGAAAAACCAAGAATGAAAAATAAATAAGTACAAAAGTGGTTCCCTTGCTTAAGCAGTAAGGCAAATCTTCACTTGTGAACTCTTGACTCTGTTTGGGGCATTAATCCCAACTGATGATGTGAGGAATGGATTCAGCATGTGGGGGGGGGGGCAACATCTTCATCCTTGCAGCTCCTGCCCAGCTGTCTAGGCTAGCTCAAGGGTTCACGGTTCTGCTAAGGATGTGTTCTCATCAGGATCCAGGGGCAATCTGAGTGAAGGCTGGGGCTCTTCTGGCTGAGTAGAGTGGCAGTACAGGAGACAGTGTCTGCTTTGGTGTTTCCTCGGCTCACCTGTGCTTTTCTTCTTCTTCCTACAGCTTAAAGGATGACCTCTAGGAAGAAAGTGTTGCTGAAGGTCATCATCCTGGGAGATTCTGGGTAAGTAGTTTTCATGAATCAAGCTCACAGATGGGTTTGAAGCCTCATCTTCACTGATTCCCATGACTGACAGTTCCACATTCTGCTCTGGACCTGTCCTCTAGCCTTACTGTTGGGATATAGTAAAAATTTGAATTTCTTTGGTGTGTATTTTTGTTGCTTGGTTTTTGGCATGGGTGTGTGTGCATGTCCCTGTATGGGTGTGTGTTTTCCTGGGAATATAACCCAGGGCCTGGAGCATGTTAGGCATGCACTCTACCACAGCTATATCTCTGTCTCTTTTAACATGTTTCAATTTGGGTTTGGTTTTTTTTGTTTTTTTGTTTTTGTTTTTGTTTTTGTTTTTGTTTTTGTTTTTTTTTTTTGTGTGTGTGTGTGTGTGTGTGTGTGTGTGTGTGTGTGTGTGTGTGTGTGTGTGTGGCGGGGGGAGTGGAGGTCTGAACCCAGTAAATGATAGTCATTTTTCTGAATCCTTTTCTATACCATCTGGCTAGACTAGGAAGTGCTGGTCTCATGATCTCTTATTGCCAGTACCTTGCTTATGCAGATATGGGTCTGCATGCATGTGCATTAACATCTCCCTTCTGTGCCTGACCAGTTATATGTGAAAGAGTCAAGACCAGAATCTAGTATTTTGTTTCTATATCATCCACTCACCAAGTAATGAATTCTTCAATGGCTATTAAGATTGTCTAGTTGTGGGGTGTTGAGGAGTTTAAACGGGGTCTCATCTTGTCTTATAGTTCTGGCTGTCCTGGAATTCATTGTGTAAACCAGACTGGCCTCAGACTCATAAGAAATTAGCCTGCTTCTGCCTCCCAGTTGTTTTCTATTACAGTTTTCAGACTCAGTTTCTTATGTGACTCAATGACAGCCTTGCTTCACTGAGGATTTGTGTATAAAATAGTAAGTTGGCATAGTGACACATGCCTGTCATCCAAGCTACTTGGAAGGCTGATATGGGAAGGTCACTTAAGCCTGGAAGACTGAAGCCAGCCTAGGCAGCATAGACTCTGCTTCTGAAAAAGAACACCATAAGAACATACAAAAAGGAGGTGGTATGCGCCTCTAGTTTAAAGTCCCTTTTTTCCCTTAAGAGTCAGGGATTTTTCTGTCTCATTTGGCCTATTTGAATTGCTTAAGGAACCCTTGAACTAGTGTTTTCTTGTCCTGCAACTGTATACCAGTGGGGTAGAGTGTAGGGCTAATGTCTCCTGCCCAGTGCTGTCAGAGATGTCTTAGTCCTTAGATCTGTGCTGACCAGGCTTGTCTGAAAGGAGTCGGATCCATTACAGATTCTCCCCTGTGAGTTCTCTTAAGCTGCAGTCCTGGGGAAGGAGCCCAAGGCCTCACACGTGAAGTCAGTGGTCAGCTATTGAACTACACCCAGCCCAGCACTACTGCCTTGGGCTGTGTGTACATCCAGGTCTTCTGAATATGTATTTGTTTCTTTGTGGAAAGCCATGGACAAGGAATGCTTTAGCTCTGTCTTCAGGTTGCATTACCTTGACCCTACCCTTAACCTAACGAAACACTTGGTTGGTGTGTTTTCTTGGTGAAAAAATTCCTTTGGTGAAACATCTTTGAGTTTTTTTTTTTTTTTTAATTACATTTTACTTATTACTGTGTGTGCATGTGATAGAGGTCAGAAGACAGTGGGCAAGAGTTGTTTTTCCTTTCACTGTGGGAGTTCTGGGGATTGAATTGAGGTCATCAGGCTTATTAACAGGTACCTTTACCTGCTGAGCCATCTCACAGACTGTTTTATTGTGCTTTGTTTAGGCTTTATTTTTGAGACAAAATATAAGTGGCTCAGATTACCCTTGAATTCATATGCAGCCCCGTCTAGCCTCAAGCTTCCAATCCTGTTACCTCACTCTTTCAAGCGCTGAGTTCAGTTATGTGCTTGGAGGAACATTCTTTTCTAGCTGGCTACTGATGCTTTCTGCTGTGTGTCAGCTGCAGTCAGTGGCTTCTTCCTGGTATTACTTGATCATACTGAGTAACACACTAAACACCTGAGATTACAGCAGTGTGTTTGGAATGGCAGAGTGATTTATTACAGAACTTTGTTTTAGGGGTATATATCTGCCTGCCTTCTGGAAGGGAAAAAAAATGAATCCTAGGTTCTACCATTTGAGCTGCCTGTACTGAATCTTAGAAACTGTGTTCTGTATATGATGAACATCTGTACTGTGGGTTCTTTATTGCTTTGTGTTTTTGTATTGTACTGCTGTGTTGGAAACAAAGGGGCTCTGCCACTGAGCTAATCCCTTCTCCCCCTTGTTGCACAAATCCCAAATGATCTTATAAAAAAACCTGGAGCCAGATATTGGGGTAAATGCTGAAAGATCAGAGAGACAAAGGAACAAGCCACTAGAGAAACTTCTCACCACTACCGAATCCTCAGGCCGAATGGAAGGCGAGATCCTATCTCCATGAATCTTCTAACTGAAAGCCTCTGAGTCCTCAGATGAAAGGCTTTATTTAGTTCCTGTCTCCTCTCGCCTTATATGCCTTTCTCCACCCAGCCATTTCACTTCCTTCTAGTGCTGTGATTAAAGGCGTGTGTGCTTCCCAAATACTGGTAGCAAAGGCATGTGATTCCCAAATACTGGGGTTAAAGGTGTGTTCCACCACTGCTTGACCCTGTTTCTCTCCTACACTGAATCAATCTCATGTAGTCCAGGGTGGCTTTGAACTCACAGAGATCCAAACAGATCTCTGCCTCCTAAGTGCTAGGATTAAAGGTATGTGCCACCACTGCCTGGCCTCTATGTTTAATCTAGTGGCTGGCTCTGTCCTCTGATCCTCAGGCAAGCTTTTATTTGATGTACAATATATCACCACACCCCCTGTATTTGTTTTTATTACATTTTTTTTTTATTTTGCATGTGGGGGGGGCGGTATTCATTTTGTTTCTGTATAAGTGTAGGGGTTATACATGTCCTGGTGCATGTGTGGAGGTCAGAGTATAATTTGCAAGAATCCCACACCAGTGAAGCCTGGGGGTTGAAATCATGTTGGGCTTGGCAGTTCCTTTCCCTGATGTTTTAGTTCCTTTTCTACTGCTGTGATGAGACACAATGACAAAGACAACTTACATAAGAAAGAGTTGATTGGATTGGGGGCTTACAGTTTCAGAGGGTGAGTCAGTGACCATCATGTTGGGGAGCATGGCAGCAGGCAGGCCTAGCACTGGAGCAGTAGCTGAGAGCTCAGGTCATGATTTGCAGCTACTAGGCAGAGAGTAGAGATTCATTTGAAACCTTAAAGCCCATCCCCAGTGACACATCCCTCCAACAAGAAACCAGGTGTTCAAATATATGAGCTAATGGGGGCCTTTCTCATTCAAACCCCCAAACCTGCTGAGCCATCCTGGCAGCCTCTCCCCCTGCACTATCCCAGGAAAATACAAACTTTCTAGTATGTGATGGTAGGGTGATTATTGATGCTACCCTTGGCTGAGAGGAAGACATCTGTTCTCAATCATGACAGACTGGTTCCTTTGTTCCTTTGCTTTGTTTTGTTTTTCAAATTGCAGTACTGGGGGTTAAACCCAGGGCCTGTGTGTCAGACAAGCACTTTACCAACTGAACTCTCTCTCTCTCTAGCCCAGACAGGTTGCTTTTTCAATTGCAAGCACAAATTGGTTTCAGTCCCTTATTTGACTTAGACTTATGGTTTCCTCCAATTTCAGTGTTGGAAAGACATCGCTCATGAACCAGTATGTGAATAAGAAGTTCAGTAACCAGTACAAAGCCACAATAGGAGCAGACTTCCTGACCAAGGAGGTGATGGTGGATGACAGACTTGTCACCATGCAGGTAAGCCACTGCAGAGCTGCTAGCCTGACTGTTTGCTACTGAATCTTCTTAAAAATGTATTCCTTATGTGTGTATCAGGGGACAACTTTGTGGAGCTGGCTGGTTCTTTCTACTTTTATGTGTGTTCTAGGGATTGACTGAAAACACTTTACCTGCTGAGTCCTCTCGCAGGCACAGCTTATTGAATATAAGTTGTTTTTCACATCTAATTATTGTAGGTGGACTTTTCTTTCCCTCTTGCCAGTTCCCAGATAACCGACATGAGACTCAATTATGGATGCTTGGCCGATAGCTCAGGCTTATTACTAACTAGCTCTTACAACTTAAATTAACCCATTTATATTAACCTAGATTCTGCCACGTGGCATTAACCTCTCTTTCATCTTGCACCTTCTGTTTCTTCTCTGTGTCTTGCTGGTGACTCCTGACTCCACCCTCCTTCCCAGTGTCCTTAGTCTGCTTTTCCTGCCTAATTTTATCCTGTCCAGCTATTGGCCAGCAGCTTCTTTATTAAACTAATCACAATGCCATTTATAGTGTATAGAAGGATTGTTCCACAGAAACTTGTTTTCTTCTCTGTTTCTCAAACCTACCATTATATTCAAAGAATTGTTAGATAAAATAAAAGGCAGCCAGTTTAAACTTGACTGGAGGCATGGTAGGGATGGAGTCTGGGGCCTCATGCTTGCTGAGTGCACATGTTCCCAACACTAAGCTAGACCCCCAGCTCTAAATTTGAATTTTATATTGCAAGACAACTAGGAATTTTTGTAAAATTTAATTTAGCTAGGTTTATTTGTGGTCTGGTTTTTGGTGGTGGTGGTTTTTTTTTTTCTTAAATTTAGCAACATGTATGGGTCTCTACTGTGTTCCAAAATATCTTCATTTTTCTTTTTTTCTTCCTTCCTTTTTTCCTTCCTTCCTTCCTTCCTTTCCTCCCTCCCTCCCCTTTTTAAGATTGGTGCTGTAGGGTCTGTCTGTCTGTCTGTGCAGCCATGCCTGTCCTGAACTCATGCTGTAGACTAGGCTGGCCTTGCACTCAAACAGCTGCACTTGCCTCTGCTGGAATTAAGGTCTTGAGCCACTGTGCAGGGATCTTAGAAGGTCTTATTAATCAAATCAAACCTGAGGCAGGTGTTGGGGTGAGCGCTGGAAAATCAGAGAAGCACAACAAGCCACAGCTTCCTCACCTGGCCAGTTTCTCAGCTGATCCTATTTTTTCAGACTGGAAACCTCTGTGTCCTCATCCGGAATGAATCTCAGCTGAAGTGCTGCTCAAAAGCCTGAAAGCTTAACCAGCCAAATGCTTCTAGTTTCTGGTCCTCACACCTTATATACCTTTCTGCCATCTACCATCACTCCCTGGGATTAAAGGCTCGCTTTCTGGGTTTAAAGGCGTGAGTCACCATGCTTGCCTGTATCCTTGAACAGATGGATTTCTGCCTCTGGAATGCTAGGATTAAAGGCGTGTGCTACCACCACTGCCTGTCCTCTATGTTTAATATTGTGGCTGTTCTGTCTCTGACCCCAGATAAGTTTATTAGGGTGCACAATATTTTGGGGAACACAATACCACCCACCACAAGCCACCGTTGGGCTTATCTCTTAGTCTCTTTGTCAGTGCTTCAGGTCAGAAATCTTTGTGTGCTTCCTAACGTCTCACAGCAAATATTAAGGTGGTTTCTATTTGTTTATTTGCTTGTTTGTTTACTAGCTATTCTGTTTGTAGCCTTTAGGGCTGAAAAGAATGGCTCAGTGATTAGGAGCACTGGCTGCTTTTTGCAAAAGGACCCAGGTTCAGTTGCCAGACCACTGTTTATAACTGCAGTTCTGAGGGATCTGACACCCTCTTCTGCTCTCCAGACATTAGGCATGCATTTTGGTGCACAAGTGCAGGCAGACACACACATAGCTAAATCCTTTTTATAAGGTTGAGTCCTGTTAAGCCAGTCTGCTGTTTTCATGCGTCTGCTCAGCTTCATGTCCCAAGTGTGTTAGTGGTCCCATTGAAACATACTTTTTGAAAATCTTCATTTTATGGTTATACCCTTTTTGTTGTTGAGGCATTTTGTGTAGTGTGCACACGTTCTTGTGGAGAACCACTTTCAGAAAAAGAATCCCAATTTTTGTCTTGTCTTCTGGTGGTCCATGATGCCCCCTCAGGTAGTTGGTACAGCAACATCAAACTAGAGAGACGAGATTAATCTTTGAATTTCACATTAGATCTTTGAGTTCTACATTAAAGCTAAGGGCTGACACCCCATATTTTAATTTTTTTGGTGTGTGTGAATGCAGGTGCATATGTACCAAGGCATGAGTGTGCAGGTTAGAAAACAACTTCAGGTGTTGATCTTTACCTTCTTACCCCTTCCCCCTAATTTTTGGGTTTTTTCTTCCTAGATAGGATCTCACTTTGTAGCTCTGGCTTACCTGGAACTTGCTGTATTGACCAGGCAGGCCTTGAACTCAGAAATACTCACCTTTGCCTGCCTCCTGAGTGCTAGGATTAAAGGTGTGCACCATTATAGCCAGCTTCCACCTTGTTTTGAGTCAGGGTCTTTGTTCTTATTTCCCCACTCCATGTGCTAGACTAGCCTTCTGAGCTCACGGGAATCCCTGCTCTGTCGTTCATCCCCCTGCTGTAGTGCTGCCATTGGAGATGCTCCTCCGGGATGTCTGCTTTACATGTGTGATAAGGATCAGAATTCAGGTCCTCATTCAGGACCCTGCTTTTGGTTGGTTGGTTTGTTAATTTTACTATTTTTATTTTTTATATTTTTTTATGTGAATTGATGTTTTGCCTGCATATATGTCTGTTTGAGGGTGTTGGATCCTCTGGAATTAGAGTTATAGACAGTTGTGAGCTTGTCGTGTGGGTGCTGGGAATTGAACCTGGGTTTTCTGGAAGAGTAGCAGTGCTGTTAATCGCTGAGCCATCTCTCTCTCCAGCCTGCCCTTTGTTCTTTTTTCAAAGGTAGTGTTTCATTTAGCCTTTTATGGGGCTTGGGGAACCACAGGGCTCATAGAAGTCCAGGCTGGCCTCAAACTCTGTAGCAGAGGATGATGGCCTTGAATGTTTGATCTTCCTGCCTCTGCCTCCTGAGTGTTGGGGTTATGGGCTGTTACCACCACACCTAGCACAAAGGTAAGAACTCTTAATTGGCTCACATTTTAGGGTAGAGTTAATGTAAGTCAGCCTTCCCCAGCCTACCCTTACGCATCTGGAGATTTTCAAAACACCTGAGTGAAAGTTAAAACAAATTTGAGAAAAGGAATTTCCAGATTATAAGAACAAAGAAGAAAGTGAAGCTATGATAGGCCCAGAGGCTCCTGCCACGGGATGGGTGTAGATGGACTTTCTTTGGACCACCAGCTCCCAAATAAATAATGACATGGAGACTTCTTGAAAGCTTGGCCTTAGTTTATGCTGGTTCTCAACTAACTCTTAAAATTTAAATTAACCCATTTCTATTCATCTGCGTTCTGCCACATGGCTTGTTACCTCTTCATACTGTATGTCTGACTGTCCGTCTACCCCCCCCCCCAGTTTCTGGGGAATCCCCCTCACCTCAGATTCCTCTCTGAGCTCCTATCTCTATCCATTAGTCCTGCCTATCCTCTCTTGCCTAGCTGTTGGCTGTTTAGTTCTCTATTAAACCAATCAGAAGGTGCCTTAGGTGGGGAGGTTAAACAGAGACATCTTCACGTGTACAGAAGAATTATCCCACAACAGATGGGGTGATTTTTAAGTTTCAGCTGTGAAAGGACGGGAGAAGTAAGTTACTTCTTACCATGTGGGGAGCTAAAGCTGAGAACACACACACTCCACACCACATGGTCAGGCCCCAGAAAGAATGTAAAAGCAGGACAGTGAGACAGGCCAAAGGCATGGCAATGGGCTTGAGGCAGTGCCCCATTGTCTACCTGTCCACCTGTATGGGGCTTGCTTTAGGTGTGTTTGGGGAACGGAGAACTTGGAATTGAACCTAGGATCTCTGCTGTTGGGCTCTGTCCCAAGACCTTTTTAAACTAGTATCTTGAGACAAGGTATCATTTAGCTGCCCAGGCACTGACCTTGAACTTGCAGATCTCTTCTCAGCCTCCCCAATAGCTGGAATTAAAGGTTTGCCTTCCCAGATCCAGCTTCATATGTGTAGAATCTAAGTTTATACTCTTCAAAGAACAGGGCTCTATCTTGAAGAATTAACAGAAACTCGTATCATTCTTGACAAAAACCGAGATTAGTTTGTGGGACAACTTAAAATTGGAGTGAGAAGATATGCTCCTGACCATATGTGGAAATCATATGCCACAAGAAATCTTCACAATGACTGTCATTTTTTTAAAAAATGGGAATAGAAACCAGAATGGAAAAAAAATGCTATTAAAAATGAGGATATGGAAAAGTCAGAACTTCAAAAACTGAAAAAACAACATCAAAATAAGTGAAAGACACTGTTAAACTATAGAAGCCCAGTAAGCTGCAAGGGTTGGAAAGGTTTCAAAAAGCACCTGAGACTGGCTAGGCATAGTGGCGCATGCCTTTGATCCCAACACTTGGGAAGCAGAGGCAGGCAGATTTCCGTGGATCTCCATGAGGCCCGCCTAGTCAGAGCTACATAGTGAGACCCTGTCTTGGGAAACAAACAAAAGGAACCCGAGATTGCAGGAAACCAAACGGTAGCCCGAGAGCTCCCAGAAATAACGGTGACTTGTAGGAAGGGCAGCTAGGCTGGTGCTCTCCACAGCAGCAGGGGCGGGAGAGAATGGGTGCTAGCTCAAATGCAGGAGCTGTACTGGGGTTCTGTGGGTCACAGGGTTAAGATTTTAGATCCCAGCCACACTGCTGCAATAATGCAATCAAGGGGGTCACAACTGAAGACCCACAGGGCAGAAGGGTCCAGGAGAGGGTGGGATGAGATGGTAGCTTTTGAGTGATGGGGCAGAGTCTGGAGTGGGCTCCACATATTTCTCAGCTTGTAGTAAAAGATAGATAGAAAAGAAGGAATCACAAAAAAGGAACCCATTGGTGACCTCCTTGGTTTTAGAGAGTGCATTTTACATTTAAAAAGGAGCCAGGTCTGATTTCACAGGCCTATAATCCCAGCTAGTTCAGGGTCATCCAGGCCAATTGATACTTTTTTTTACAGATAGCCCAGGCTGCCCTCAAACTCTTAGAATTCTTTTGCCTTTTTTTCCCCAAGCGTTAGGTGTGTGGGCATGAATTTAATAGAGAAAAATAATCTTGCATCTGAAGAGAAGAAATCAAATAGGCAATATATAGATTTGAGGAGAAAAAAAATTAATAGAACTTCTACAACTTCGGGAATTTCAGTTAACAGTAGATTGGACATAGCAGAAAGGACCAACAGAGAAAACTGGCAGGAAATGGAGCGGAAGGCTCTATGAGGTCACTACCACTTGCTTGATTTTATTTTGTTCTGGGCTTTACACATGCCCAGAAAGTATGATTTTCCAGCACAGACCCACTTTTAATCAATTTCAGGAGGAATAAGAGAAGAGATTAGGCTGGGCGGCGGTGGTGGTGTACACCATTAATCCCAGCACTCTGCAGGAAGAGGCAGGTGACTTTCTGTGAGTTTGAGCCCAGCCCGGGGTGGGGTGTGTGTGTGAAATTTGCCAAGAATTTCCCAGAACTGACATTGCACCAATTCAGAGATCCAGAAATACCAACTTCCCAGGAAGGATAAATTAAAAATGTACATGAATGACATAATAATACCCACTCTCAAAAGACTAAAGAGGAGCCAAGGAAAGTATGGCCATGGAAGCCAAGGAAGGAGCAGCCATGAGGTTGCCAGTTAACCCACCGTAGCACCACAGGCACAGCAGCAGTGGGTGTTGTCCAAAGGCGGCACAGTCAGCAGGTTGTTTTTAGAATTAGAACTCTGGACACTGAAAGCACAGGTTCTTTCTCCTCCGGCCTCCACGAGTGCCCCCACCACAAAGACACATAAATAAGAATAAAACACACCTAGAGGCATAGAGCTAGAGTAGTAAGTAGTCCCATGATCGAATGCTTGCTGTGACACATGCGGCCTTGGGGTCTGTCCCCAGCACTGTGGAGCAAAGAAAGCATAGGTGCCTTCCCTTGGTGTCTACTCAGAATTGTCTGAGACACTTCCCCACCCAGGTGAAGGTGGGTTTCTTCTGTACCCCAGAATCTAATCAATAGTTATATGTCTAATTCAGCTATTTGGTTTAAAAGGGCTTATTGGGGAATGTTATCATGTTTACTATTTTCTATAGAGAAAATATTTTCCAGTTTCAAAGAACCCTGGACTTTTAAATTACAACCTGTTTAAGTACAGAATCTCTGTTTTTGTGATGGAAAAGCTCCAGAAATGGACAGTAGTATCTGAACATAATATCATGAATGTAATAAATCAATACAATTAATGTAATTAATGAATATCATAAATATAATTATTGAATGAATACTGCAAATGTAATCAATGAATACCACAAGTGTAATTAATATCATGAGTGTAATTAATGAATATCATGAGTGTAATTAAAACAATAAATTAAAAAAAGATGGTCAGGAGGATCCTGGATTCAGTGCCCAGCACAACATAAACTGCATGTGGTGGTGCTTCCCTATAATCCCAGCACTTGGGAGGTGCAGGCAGAAGGATCAGAAGTCTAAGGCCACTTCAGCTACAGAGTAAGTTCAAGGTCATTGTGGGCTGGAGAGATGTTGAAAGGTTTTAAGAGCATTGGCTCTTTTCCAGAGGACCCAGGTTTGAATCCCAGCATGCACAGTGGTATTCACAACCGCATGTAACTCTAGTCCCAGGGAATCAGATACTCTTTTCTGGCCTCCTTGAACACCAGGCATGCACATGGTACACAGACATACACGCAGACAATAATAATAAAAATTTTAATTAGAAATTTTATAATAAAATTGATTTGTCATGTTTACATAGAAAGTAAGGATACCCTCCAGTATAACTTTAAATAATCTTCAAATTACTTATAAGACCTAATCCCATGTAAGCAGTTATTAGACTGTGTCTAGGAATAATGATAAGAAGGGAAATCCATAAATGCCTACTAAAGTCATGGCCTGTTGTTAATTGGATCCTCAGGTGTCGCCCACATTGGGTCCCACTGTATGGAAACCAGGATTGGGGTTACGGGTTGTGAGGTCTAGTGGAAGAGCAGTGGTGGCTGTGTTGTACCATTTATATTTCTGATACTATTGAGGAAAAAGCTAGGAGTCAGCTGTTGGTGAACACTCAGGGACTTGGCGAGCTGAAATCACTGAAGCAGTGGTATTGGCACAGATACAGAAGGCCATGGGACAGGCCATAGGCACAGGACCTTGCTGGGAACTCCGAGGACAGAGCTCCTACTCGGACTGGAGTGGAACCTGCAGGCAGAGTGGCTAGAGGCTTCAGGGCCTGAGTGGTGGGAAAGCATCAAGTAAAACTGTTCAATGTAAAGTAGAGGCTGTTTTTGACCTTTGACATTTAAAGTGCAGCAAGAACAAGTCATAAAAGAATAAGATTGTGTGAGACCACATTCAATCAAATACCTAAATAAGGTGATTCCCGGATAGCCAAAGTAGTCATTGAACAGGAGCACATGCTGACGGGCAGCCTGTGGTTAAGTAGGCAGAGTACAGCAGAGAAACCTTAATGGCCTAGAAGCCTGATTTCAGGGATTGGAGTAATGTCAAGGTAGCTTAAGAGTATTCATTGCAGCTGGGCGGTGGTGGCGCACGCCTTTAATCCCAGCACTCGGGAGGCAGAGGCAGGCGGATCTCTGTGAGTTCGAGGCCAGCCTGGTCCATGGCGCGAGATCCAGGAAAGGCGCAAAGCTACACAGAGAAACCCTGTCTCGAAAAACCAAAAAAAAAAAAAAAAAAGAGTATTCATTGCAACCCTACATATGAGGATGGATGGCCAGGGAATAAAGTGCAGAACAATAAGGCTGTGGGTACTGTTAGCTATTAACTTTGCATATGAGAAAAGACAAGTGGAAAGAGATTTACAGCAGAGTACTGTTGGTGTAAGACGTTTCTTCAAGAGCCATTTTATTTCTAGGGAGTGAGGAAAAAGTGTCATGGGGGTAGTTAGTGTCTTATGTGCATGTATGTCTCTGCACCACATTCCTGCCTGGAGCCCACAGGAGCCATCACATCTCCTAGAAATGGAATTACAGATAGTTAGGAGTTACCATGTGAGTGCTGGGAATCGCACCCAGGTGCTGGGAAGGAAACCTGAGTGCTCTTAACTGCTGAGCCATAGGTTTACTCTTAAAAAAAAAAAAAAAAAATGAAAAATAAGTACAGTAGCAGTGTTAATACTTAGCAGGTGGTAGAATGTGTATTTAGCATTCATGAAGCCATGTGTTCCATCTCCAGGTTCCTTCTGTAGTACCCCCCAAAAATAATAGAGCATTGGATAGGTAAATATATGGGTATAAATTTGGAAATAAAAGAAAAAACAACATTTCATTTGGGAATCTATTATATAGATGAGCAGTAGAGCTTGCTCAGAGTTGCAATGCCCTATGTTCTGTTCTCACCACTACCTTCCAAAAATACTCAGTTAGAAAAATTAAAAAGGACCATTTGACATAGAATTGTATTTTTTTTATTTTTTTGTTCTTATTGACAAAAATGAATTGTACTTTTTTAAGTTTGAAGCTAAGGTAAATTTAGAAATTTGCCAGGAGTAATGTCTCAGTTTCCCACTTGATTTTTTTTCTTCAGTTTTTGTCTGCTCTGTGTCTTTGAGTTCCTTATACCGTTTGCACCTCAATTGAACATGGCCCTGTAGGACAGGGTCTATGCTGAACCAGTGGGACCTGCTGCTAGCTTCCATTCTGTTGCTCTTATCTCTCCAGATATTTTTTGTAAGGATTTTTAATTAATTTTGGTTTTGTTTTGAATTAAAAAAAACCACTTTTTGATTAAAGAATTAAAGATTGTTAAAAATCCATTGATACAAATATCATTTTCATTAGTAATCCTTTATTTCTACTACCTCTAAGCTTGTGGTAATGCATACTTGTAATCTCAACACCCAGGAAGCTGAGGCAGAAGGATTGCAAGTTCAAGGCCTGCCATGGCTACATAGAGCATTCAAATACAGCACAATAATCAAGCCCTTAGGGAGTTCACAGAATACATAAGTCTTGGGGTTGTAACTTCACTTTCTGTGTACATACCTGGGAGAAGAGAGGAAGCTCGTGTCACTCTCTCCTCTAAATGTGTGTGCACACACATACACACTACCCAGCATCTCCTGGAGACCAGGTCTTTTGTTTCTTGTAGATATGGGACACAGCTGGTCAAGAACGGTTCCAGTCTCTTGGTGTGGCCTTCTACAGAGGTGCAGATTGCTGTGTTCTGGTGTTTGATGTGACTGCCCCCAACACATTCAAAACCCTTGACAGCTGGAGAGATGAGTTTCTTATCCAGGCCAGCCCCCGGGATCCTGAGAACTTCCCTTTTGTTGTGTTGGGAAACAAGATTGACCTTGAAAACAGACAAGTAAGTGCTAACATGCAAGTTACCCCACAGGCCCCTTCTCCTCTGATACCTTGGAGTTTGGAGGGTTCTCTTCCAGGCTTAGAATAATTTGGGGAGGTGCTGGTAGCAGTGCTTGTCACCCAGTCCCCCAGCTGACCCTGGCCAGCTTTGATGTGAGGCTATCAGTTCTTAGAGCCTCTGTTCCCTCTCTGTACCTTAAAGGAAGGAGTTAGTTTTCTCGCTTCAGAGTGGAAGAATGCTGTGGGCCTTGAGTCGTGTTACTCAGCTGTGAGTCTACCCAGCATTTCTGTTGGAACATAGTTAATTTTAGCTCAGCTTATTTCTGACCATCTCTTTCCCTTTCCAGATTTTGTCTCTGTTACTTGGCTGGGGCGAGGGAAGGAAAAATCTAAGGGGTGAGCCCTGCAAAGTCTGTGCCACTTACCATTTCTCCACGTGATCCAAGATGAGTGAGGGGAAATGGAATTGTACCAGAGCTTAACCATGGACCCAGGAGAAATCATTCTCTACCTCCTGGGATTGGCTTGGTCTGTGGCACACTGCTAAGAGCCACAAGGTCTGGCTATGGCCAGAAATAGTTTGGATCCCTCACACGGGCAGCAGAGTGACCAGACCTTCAGGTCTATAGGCCATACTCATCTTCATTCCCAGATCTGTTCTCTCCTGTGTACCTGTCCTGGGGAGGACTGAGTCACTCATTGTCCACTGTTCATGTCAGTAGTGTCCTTCTCCCTCCTGTAGGTGGCCACAAAGAGGGCACAGGCTTGGTGCTACAGCAAAAACAACATTCCCTACTTCGAGACCAGTGCCAAGGAGGCCATCAATGTGGAGCAGGCCTTCCAGACAATTGCTCGGAATGCCCTTAAACAGGTGGGTCTCCAGGACTGTCCAGCTGTGGGGTGCCCTCTGGTGATGTCTGATGTTCTTTCCTAGATGCCTTTCTTCCCAAGCTGCAGCTGGGAAAGCTAGGGTGCTTCTCTGGATGTATAGGTCATGACATATTCGTTATCTAAAAAGACATAGGGCAGAGCTGGGCTTGGCTTGGTGATGGAACACTTACCTGAGATACGGAGCATTCAAGGGCAGCCTAGTGCTTGAATAATGAGTTCCAGACATAGTGAAACCTTGGGGGACAAAACAGACATCCTTGTGAAGGAGCTGTGGGCTTGTTTGTTCCTGAGCTTTATAGGAGGTCAATGCTTCTAGTTAATGAGATAAACCTGAATCAAATCTCAGTTGCCACCTAGTCATTCATGTCTGAGCTTCCACCCCTCACCTGCAAAACAGAACGCCAGCTTTGAATGGTGAACGTAGTTACCTGACTCAACTCTCAAACCATGAAATGGCTTTTTTCTGAGCGTAGTTTTATATGTATACTAGTAAGAAATACAAGAAAGCTGTCAGGGAAGCCAGCGCTTCCAGCTACTCTCCTCTGGGAGAAGACACCATGTGCCAAGGCAGTAGTATAGAGGCTCGGCCTGTGACACAGACCTGTAATTCTAGCTATTGCAGGGAAGCTGAGGCAGGATGGCAGATTCAAGGCCAGCTAGGACAATACAGTAGAACTGGAAGTATAGCCAATCTAGAGTGTTTGCTTAGCATATGCAAACTCCTGGGGTTTGTCACGGTATGGGGGGAGTTTTTTCAAAAGTGTGGGCTTGAGCTACTGGCACTTTTGAGGGCCATGGCAAAAACGTAAGCCACAAGGCACCGTCATCATGCGGCATACAGAAAACTGTGTTGTGTGTGTCTGCAGGGATGCCTGAGGCAGGTGGTAGCTGGAAAGTCAAGACAGGTTCCCTTCATCTCTAGGGAGCTGGGTATCAATGCACTGGTTCTCAGCAGTGTGGGTGGCAGAGACTTGGAATTAACTGTTCCAGAGGCAGGGGTCCTGGCTTAGAGGGGCTGCACAAAGTGCCTCCTGACAGTGGTGGGCCTGTCCAGGTAGGACAGTTCACCCAAATGCCAAGAAAGCCCCCCAAAGAAACATGCTTTCTTCTGACATCCACCACCACCCCAATCTCCCCTCCCACCTGGATTTTCTTATCATGCATGTATCCATGAGGAAATGCAAACACATGGAAAAGTCTCTCTCCTCTCTGTTCCATTGACTGGCACCACTGTCAGGTTCCCTCCAACGCTTTCTGTTGCTCTTTCTGTGGGATGACCCCTAGAGGCTCTGGTAAACTGAGGCTGTTTAGGATGGGGCTGGGTGGTTCACCTAGGGAAGCTCCCCAGCTGTGGGTGGTGCCGCAACTAACTGCTGGCTCTGGCAACTGCCACCTCATAGCACTGTCCCTTGGAGCCTTGCCTCCTAGGCTGGCTACTGTGGTCTGGTATTTCTGTCAGTTTAGCAGCTGAAGTATCGTTCTGTTTATCAATAAGACTCAAAAGTCAAAGGCTGGGGTAAAAACCTGCTAGCTCAGAGGTAGAGTTGTAACTAGCTGACCTTGCTTTTTGCCTGGATACACCGCAAGAAGCATGTCTCTTCCTTCCCGGAACCAAGAGAGCTCAAACTCTAGTCCCACCCTTTCCTTCCTGTGCATTTTCTCTATCCAAATGCTGGCTTCTCTATGGCCAATTCTAGTCAGCTAGTCACTGGCTTCGCCCCCTGATTAAAAGTATCTTTATTGGGCAGTCTCAGGAGTGTGTCAGAGTGCTATCAAAATATCCCACAGTGGTGGTGGTCTCTGAATGGCCAGCACAGGATCTTGGCTGGCCCCCTGCACGTTCTCATGAGGTTTGTTGTGCTTTTTAAATATTTCATCTTCTCTTGGGGTTGGGGATTTAGCTCAGTGGTAGGCCCTGGGTTCGATCCTCAGCTCAAAAAAAAAAAAAAAAAAGCTCAAAAAAAAAAAAAATTCATCTTCTCTTTACCTAGAAAGAGAAACTGGGTGTCCTTGAGTTCTCCAGACCAGGATACCTTTACTATGGGGCTCTTTAGTTCCCTAACTCACCAAGGGTCCTTATACCTGTAAACTAGAGTTACAACGCCGGGGAAGCGGGGGTGGAGGAGGGGGGGGTATCCTGACTGCTCCAGGAGTCAGGCTATACCTGGAGCTGCTGGGACAGCTCTGGTGGCTGGAGCTGCAATGGGACAGCTCAGCTCTGGAGAGAAGGGTATCCTGACTGTTCGGGAGTCTGGTGATATCTGGAGTTGGGGTGCGGTGGGGGTTGGTCTCCCTGCAGGATATAGCAATCTTGCTCCTCTCCTGAAGAGCCGCTACAGCTGAGCAAAGCTCAGCTTCCACTTAAGGGGACTTCTCAGTGGAGCTCTGCTTCTTCTCCAGCCCAAGATGTTGCTTCTTTTGCTTTAATCTGCTAAAGGGGAAACCCCTGCAGAAATGTAGCAATCTCCTCCAGCTTTGGTGAAAAGTTTTTACTTTTTCTGCTCTGCCTTGCTCAGTCCCTTAAGCGATGTCCCAGCAAGGTTATTTTGTTTGTTCAGCTCTACCTTGCTCAGCCCCCCTAAGGGAACATCTCTACAAGGTTTTTTTCTGTTCAGTCCCCTAAGGGACATCCTAGCAAGGTTCTTCTCTGTGCTGGCAAATGAAGAAGATCTTCACACCCAAACTCTCATGAGAAAGAGATTTATTTGGAAAGGTCCCACCCTTACCAGGGTGGGAAAGAACAGCCCGAAACTGAACAGTCAGGATGGTTTATATAGGATCTCTTGCGGTGGAGTTTCTCTAGGGAGAAGATTTTCTGTTCAGGGATTGGTTAGTTTCATTGGTCAGGGGCAGAGATGGCTCTGATTTCAGAGTCAAACAAACTGTGTTTCTTTCACTGGCCTTTCTTAGCTTTTTGGCTCTAATTCTAAGACCAGGGCATATTTCTTTCACTAGCTCTGATTCTAGGGATAAAGTATGTTTCTTTGGCAGTGGTTTCAGAGTCAAGACATGTTTCTTTGGTTCTGGGTTTGGGGATAAAGTGTTTCTTTCACTGGCTAGGGTCCCAGATCCAGGCTGTGTATCTTTCACTGGTTCTGGGCTCCAGGGTCAGGGTAGGTTTCTTTAGCTGGTCCCTTTTCCCTGCAATACCAGTGTAGTCCTTTCAGAGATAGCCCCTTGGGAATGCACCCAGAGTGATCTTATGAACTCTTGGTGAGTAGACATTACCTTCATCTTCCTTCCAACTTCATTTACCCCCTCCTAGCTGGGTTTTTTGGTTGGTTGGTTGGTTGGTTGGTTTTTGCTGTTGTTATGAATTAAAATATCTGATACCACCCCAAAAGGGGTCAGCCCACATGTAGAGGACCATTGCTTTACCTGGACCACTTTTATTTCTGCATCTCTAGTGTCTAGTTCTGCCTACCTGTAGCTGCCTCCTAACCCACCCACCCCCCCAGCTAAGTGAAAGCCTTGAGATTTTTGTTGGAACTGTATTGTCTACTTGGGTGGGGCATAACAAAACACCATAGATCAGACAGCTTATACATAGGACATTTTATTTTGTTGTCACAGCTGTAAAGTCTGGGACCCGAGGTGCTGACAGACTGGGTTTGGGATAGGGGACTCTCCTGCCATGCAGATGGCTGTCTTCTTGCTGTGTCCACACAGGGCTGCTTTGCTCAGAGAGCATATGTGATAAGCCCTCTGGGGTATCTCAGTAACAACATCCACAGTCAGCTCTGGAGCTTGAGCTCAGTTGTCATTCATGAGACCCTGGGCTCGATCCATCTTCAATACAACATAACCCCAGCATGGTAATAAATGCCTTGGGATACATATGAATCCCTGTCTGAAAAGGAAAATTGGAAGTCCTGTGAGATCCGATGCCACGGATAACCTTGTCTGATCTGAATAGGCATAGGCACGCTGGGGCTAAGACTTCAACATACAAACTTTGGGTGGACACCCATTCTGTCCATGGCTGTCATTCATACTCTGCTTTTTGTGTACGTATTAGTACTGATGGGAGTATAAATTTATTGTTGCTTATAATAGCCAAAAAGTCAAAACAACACAGATGTTCACCAGCTGGTAAGTGTCTAAACAAAAGGTGCTTCATCTACTACAGATGCCGTTCAGCCACAGGCGCAGTGGAGTAGACCGTGGCTGTAACACAGAGGCTGAAAGAAGTCCAATAAAAGGAAACTTTTCTAGATCAGGGTATGCTGTGCACACTTGTCATCCTTGTAGAAGCAGGAAGATTGCCCATAAATGCAGGGCCAGGCTGAGCTCCAGAGTAAGACCCAGTGTAGAACCGGAGAAATGAGACAGGTCTGGGGTGAATATGGCTCATTGGCGAGTGCCTGCTTAGCATATATGAGGCCCTGGCTTCCACTCCTACCTCTGGTTGGTTGCTGGGGAAAGAACAGCTGCTAATTATAATTAGCACAGGGTTTCTTTTTGGGGTGATGAGTGTTCGGAACTGATGTGATGGTGGTCCAGTTTTGTAAGTACACTAAGACCACTGTGTGCACACTTGGTATATTGGACCCTAGTAAAGCTTCTACTGTGTTCATTATGTATCCACAGATATTTTATATTTTTGTAGCTGTTGTGAATAAAATAAAAATAATACTGTTTAGGAGATTTTCCTTCTCGGGTACAGTGCTGAAGGGTGAGCCCCAAGGCTTGGTGTGTGGGTACTCAGTTACTCCTCACAGGTATTAGTCCAGGAAGTGACTGAAGCCCATCTTAGCTGCTCATGTAGCCCAGGTCATGATGATATCACCCTCAGCGCTGCCCCTCAGGCTGCAATGTGAGAAACAAACCTTGGGAAGAAAAGAGACTAGCTCCTGGACAGCAATCCAGAAAATTCAGTGGGACATGGTGGCATGGGGAGCATCCTGGGACCATGGAGCAGTGAGCTGGGACCTAGCTAACAGTTTAGAACTGGCAGTTGCTGGGCATTTGTGGCGCACACCTTTAATCCCAGCACTCGGGAGGCAGAGCCAGGTGGATCTTGTGAGTTCAAGGCCAGCCTGGTCTACAGAGTGAGATCCAGGACAAGCTCCAAAACTACACAGAGAAACCCTGTCTTGGAAAAACAAACAAAAAACAAAAACACCAAAGAACTGACAGTTCTGTGAAGCCAGCAAAAAGCACCTTCACTGGGTGTGCTCCTGTCCCTAGGCCAAACTGAAAACTGGAATGTCCTGTATCCCAAGTCATCAACCTCTCTCTCTCCCCTGACCAGGAAACAGAAGTGGAGCTGTACAATGAATTCCCTGAACCCATCAAACTGGACAAGAATGACCGGGCCAAGGCCTCCGCAGAGAGCTGCAGTTGTTGAAGGGGCAGTGAGCACAGAGCACAGAGTCCTTCACAGACCAAGAACACACATAGGCCTTCAATACGCGTCCCTCCTTCCTCTAAACAGAACAGAACGTGATCTCTCACATCCAGCTGCCAAAAGAAACTCCACCAGACACACTTATCCACCACACATACACACACAGGCGCACACATACACACACACGCGCACACACACAGCAAGCAAACTCTAGCCTGTGCCTGACAGGCTCTTGGGGCAGTTGCCCACTGTAAGCCCTGTGTATGGCATTTGGCAGAGACCCTGGGTGCTCTGGGGTGCAGTGGGCATGGAAAGCTTACTCTTTTTGTCCACTGGAGAGTGAGAGAACTGTTCACAGTTCATCTGTGTCTAATTATCTGATTTTTTTTTTTAACGGTCTTGTGGTCTTTTACCTACCCCTCCTTGAAGGTCCTGTGGGAAGGCTGGTGCCCCACGCTCCATTCTGAACAGGCTGTTTTGTATGTATCTGTTAATGCTTGTTACTTTTAACTAATCAGATCTTTTTACAGTATCCATTTATTATGTAATGCTTCTTAGAAAAGAATCTTATAGTACATGTTAATATATGCAACCAATTAAAATGTATAAATTAGTGTAAGGAATTCCTGGATTGTGTGTTTAAGTCCTCTAACGCAGGCGTGCAAGGTGGAGGGTTGAACCCTGTCTGGATTACAAGAGTGTTAGAGACTCAGATTTGGAAGTCCAGCTAGCGGCAGTATTCTGTACAGTAGACACAAGAATTATGTACGCCTTTTATCAAAGACTTAAGAGCCAAAAAGCTTTTCATCTTTCCAGAGGGAAAACTGAACTAGACAATTATCCTCTGTGTCTAAATTTTCCAAAAGGTTGATTTGCATAATACAGTAGTGTGTACAATGGATAAATTGCGTTATTTCAGAAATTAAATTCTCGTTTTCCCCTTTTCTGTTTTTTTTCTTTGTTTTTTCCAATTCAACACTTTACTGTGCCCTTTAGATCAATATCCTACTCTAAGAGGAAAGGAGAACCCAGCAGACCTGTCCCAGTGACTCTACCTTTGTTCTAGAAGGCTCCTTTCAGGGTTATGGTACCTGTAGTTAGCAGACCCCTCCTCCTATCGTTCTCCCCGTCCCCGTCCCCCCCCCTCACCAAGTGTGGCCCAGCACTAACCCACCCGTCTCTTGGGTTGAGCCCTGGCAGTTCTGTCCCGTCCCGAGGTCCTGCCCTGCATCATGGCTTGCTTCCCGGAGCACTTCCCCCTCCAGAAGTCTACATTCTAGGGTGTAGGCTGAGTTCTTCTGTAAAGAGACGAACGTGATGCCAATAAAATTTAACAGGAACAAAGAACAGCTGCCCTGTCTTTTTTCTTGCAGACTTTGGCTATGTGGGGACATTCTCTGTGTTCACTGGACCCTCATGGTGCTTAGAGGCAGAGGTGCCTTCATGCCTGACCCTAGAATACCTGCTCCAGTGTGGATCTTTTTCTTAACCACAGTATTGGGAAAGGTGGGACATGGAATGGAAAACGTTCCCAAAGAGCGGCAGCCCCAAACTGCTGGTGACCTTAGGACATTTGTTGCTTTCAGATACAACTATAACCTGACCAGGGTGTGTGTGTATGTGTGCCACAGTCGGACAGACGGACGGAATGACTCAGGCCAAGTCACAGCTGCCACTTTTCACAGATCTTCCCTGATGGGAGCAGGAACCTGTATCCCAGCACACATAGCCACGTGCTAAGCCTGTTAAAGTCCACTTTAAACAGTAGTGATTCTTAAGGTGTCCGTTGAGGCTTTACTAACCTGCTCCCCAGAATCTTCAGACTCCTGTTGCTTTCCTTCCTTCCTTCTCCTGCCCCTTGGCACAGACTTCATTGTTAAAAATTACATCTTTCTGGGCATTGTGACATCCTTGCAGGCAGATGAAACAGAAGGCTAAGGCAGGATCCCTTGAACCTAGACATTTGGGGTCAACCCTGTATCAGAAATCTAACCAGATTTCAACTGATAAACAAAAACATTTCCCCAGGACAGGCATGACAGAACACCAGGGAGGCTAGGGCAGGAGGAAGGGGAGTTCAGGGCTAGCCTGGGCTATATAGTTTTGTGAAACCTGTCTCAAAAGATTTAAATATAAGGCTGGGGGAGGTGGTATAGGCTTTTAATCTCTGGAGGCAGAGGTAGGTGGTGGTGTGTGAGTTCTAGGCCAGCCTGGTCTATGTAGTGAGTTCCAGGACAGTTAGGGCTATAGAGACCCTGTCTCCAAAAAAAAAAAAAAAAAAAAAGAAGGAAAATACAGTCCCCTACATACATCCAGCTTTCTACATTCTTTTTAAAAACAGAATACTTCACTGAGCACATTCCTGAGCTAGTTGTGATTAAGGGCCACCTCAGTCAAATTCTGGGGGCTTAGGATTTGGGAGGCTCCCACTTGCCTGGTGAGGCTTTGGATTGCACCCAGTACCACAGAAACATCCAACACCACCAGCAACTATAAGTGGTATTTCCCATGACCCGGTTTGTGAGTATGGCCTCTGCCAGGCAGAGTATGCTGAGAGCTGGAAGGTGACTGGGGAGTCTGTTCCTGCCCCTTCCTATAGCGAGGGCTCATTTTCCTTCACATTGCCTCTACACCTTCACTCCAGCAGAAGTGCCTCAGTTTACAAGATTCAGAAGGTTCTTGTTGCTAGGCAAGCACATGCTCTACCACTGACTGAGCCACACTACCACCAGGTGCTGGTTCACTTCCTAGGGTTTAGTTATGGTCCACTGTTTCTCCCTCAGAAAGGTTTGGAAACAACAAACAGCACATCCCCGTGATAGAAAAGCGGGAAATGCGATGATAGGAAGCCTCTCAGCATCACTAGGCTACATAGGCAGAACTGGCATGATAATGCTGAGACTCTAGCTTAGATCCTGAACAATATGGGTACACTACTTTGCTACCATCAATAAAGCAGAGAAAAAGGCATCCAGATTCAAAACAAAGATGTCAGCCTGTCTTCCACAGGTAGCACACTCATGTAGAAAACTTAGAGCTGACTAAGTCTGTAAGGAACAATCTCAAAAGGAAACCAAGAAAAATACATTTATAAAAGTCAGAATCCAGGCGGTGGTGGCGCACGCCTTTAATCTCAGCACTCGGGAAGCAGAGCCAGGCGGATCTCTGTGAGTTCGAGGCCAGCCTGGTCTCCAAAGCGAGTTCCAGGACAGGCATCAAAACTACACAGAAAAACTCTGTCTCAAAAAACCGGGAAAAAAAAAAATCAGAAATCAAAGGTTTTCTGTTTGGAGACAGGATCTCCTGTCCCAGACTGGCCTCAGACTCACTGTAACTAAGGATGTCTGTGAACACCTCCTTAGGCTGGGATTACAGGTGAAGGCCACCATGCTTGGTCCTCGGGGTTAGGAATAGAACCAGGGGCTTCATTAATACTTTGTGAACACTACCAACTGAACTACACATCTCAGCACCAAAAACCAAAGCATTTAAAAATAACAAGAAGGTAAAAGATTTGCTCATTAGAAACATGAGATGTGGCTGAAACTGTCATGACTATCACGGCCCCTGGGAAGCTGAGGCTTGAAGACTGTCACCAGTTCAAAGCCAGTCAGGGCTAGAGTGAGACACTCAAAAACTTTAAAAATCAGGCCAGGCGGTGGTGGCGCACACCAATCCCAGCACTCGGGAGGCAAAGGCAGGCGGATCTCTGTGAATTGGAGGCCAGCCTCGTCTACAGAGTGAGATCCAGGAGGGCTCCAAAGCTACACAGAGAAACCATGTCTCAAACAAACAAACAAAAAACTTTGAAATTTTCAGAAATTAAAATAGCTGGGCAGAAAAACTTAACACTTGGAAGTCCAAAACCTGGGAAGTGGAGGCAGAAAGGTTAGGAACCTGGTCCATAAAGCTTCTCTAACACCAGGGCCTACCTTCAGTGTGGTTGCTGTGGAGCGGACCCTGTTGCATCAGCTGTAGATGGCGATCACTGGAGGGGCTGGCATTCCTGCACTCCAGCATTCCTACACTTGTAGAGCAACCATTCCCAGGAAAGTCCCACATCCACGCCTGGCCCGGAACCGTTAGCCCAGGATCTGCTTTCAGGCATTTCAGGGCTGTCCGAGTGGATAGACTCACTTGGAGGTCCCTCCCAGGCAGCTTCTAGAGAGGCAGAAAGAGAAGAAATTTAACTGTCATTGGATTTTTTTCTAGTTTTTTTCTTTTTCAGACCTGCCTCTTTTGGCTACTGCAGCATTGAATGGAGGAGTTCAGGCAAGGCTGTGGTGCTCCACCACGGCAGCATTTTTCTTAGTAAAAAGAAAATTGTTAGAAATGGTGTAAACATCTCCTATGGACCTAAGCCTAATGTAATGCAAGTGTGATGCCCTTAAACCGGCGGCGGCTTTCAACCTGTGGGTCGTGACCACCAGGAAACACGTTCCCAATGGTCTTAGGACCCTCCAACCATAAATTTATTTTCATCGCTACTTCATAACTAATTTTGCTACTGAGCAGTGTCATGGTTCCTAAGACCATCAGAAATAAGTGTTTTCCAACGGTTGTGACCCACAGGTTGAGAACTACTGCCTTAAACTGTTGAAGAGACAGGCTGACCATCTTACTTTCCTGGCTATACGTTCCTGCTGGGTGTTCAGGACCATAGGTGGGCCACAATCAATCATGGTTTTTGTTTGTTTCACTGTCAAGACCATTTGGGGATCTGCGCCTCAGGGGTCACAAGCTTGAGAGGAACCTCTGGCTCCATCTATGTGAGAACAAGTCAAAGGCCTTGCTTGACCTGGGCTTTGCTTGGAAGCATGGAGCACATTTTTCCTCTGCATTGACTCTCCTCTTTGTAGACTGGACACTGGGTAGAGCTCACCATGTGGGGTATCCATGGTCCTGAACAAAGGACTAGGAGAACCCCCACAGTTTAACATTTGAGAGACACTCTACAATCCCAAAACCTGACTTTGAAGGGCAAGGTGGCAAGACTCTGCCTTTTCGTCCCTCTGACCACGTTAGTCTAGCCTCTGCATGTGGTTACTGAACGCCCAGAAGGTATCTGTCTGGTCCTGTAGTGACTATGTAATGTTTAGATAAAGCTTGTGCAAAAACCAAGCACTTCGACTTTGATTAGATATACATTTTTGTTCTGTAAGCCAGTTCTTGTAATTATTATGGAGAATAGACCAGTAACTCCATCAATTTAAGCCAAGGTATGACACCAGTGTATTGAACTCTGACCTACAAGGCAGTAGTGGTGCATACCTTTAATGCCACTACTAGGGAGGGAGAGGCAGGCAGATCTCTGTGAGTTCGAGGCTAGCCTAGTCTACAGAGCAATTTCCAGGACAGCCAGGGCTGTTCCTGTCTCAAAAACACAAAACCAACCAAACGAACTCTGACCTACATGCCTTATATAGATGACTTGCTCAGGTCCCTCTCACTTCCCAGCTTTTTCATTCAGCTTCAGAAAGGAGGTAGGTTAGAGTCCCACCCCTTAGCCTGTTGGTATACTAGGAGAAGCCCAGAAGCCAGTACTGTCTGCTTCTTCTGAGATCCACCCACCTACCAATGCAGGGTCATTCGCAGAAATCCCAGAGAAGCAAAGAACAAACATACTCTCCTAATTAAAAGAGGGAAGAACCAGGGCACAGTTACAATCAGAGCTCAGTGTCCAGTGCCTGGACCCACTCACAGTCTGGGCTCCAGAGGGCCCGAGCAGCGCTTCTCCAGGCCGCCTTCTACACAGCACACAGCTCCTCTCAGGCTCGGGCCAGCTCCACTCCATATCTGCTGCTGCTCTTGTTGGCCATCCCCATCCTGGCATTTCCTGCAGCTCTTGCCACTAACCCAGTGTCCTGTGGGAGACTCTGAACACATCACCAAGTTCGGCTGCAGGCATGGGATACAGCCTTGGTCCCTCTGACCACAGCCTGT